ATATTATTTACATATATATAAAGAAATACACAATTGTTTAAAAATTTTTTTATATTATGCATTTTTTGATTCTAAAGTAACTTAATAATATTTCTAAAGTACTTAGTATAGTTTCAAAAGAAAAATAAATAACAAATCTTATTTTTTTAATTTAATTTTTAATTTAAGTTCTAATATCTAATTTAAACATATAAACAAATACCTAAATCTAGAAAATAATAAAATTATAATTTAAAAATAAATGAAATATTCAACTACTATTTTTTTTTTACTAGAAACTATAAATATTAATACTAAAATAAAATATCAAATATTAATAAATCATTTTTTTTCAATTTTTTAAAATAATATTTTTTTTATTATATAAAATATAAAAAAAAATTTAACATATTAGTAATTAAATATACAATTATTAATTTTATTAATTATTATAAATATTAACTAATAACTTTTAAAGAAAATAATATTAAAGATATTTTAATATAATAAAATTAACAAAAATATAAGGCTTATAAGGAATAGCTATTATTTTTTTATTTACTTTTATTTTATTTTAATTTAATGTATTTATATATTACAATTAATAAAATTATTAGTAATATCATATTTAAAATTGCTAGATAAAATCTAGAAGTTTTGCAAGTTATTAAAATGAAAAAAGATAAAATTAGTGAAATTATATTAAAATCTTATTAAAAAATCTGCAAAATTCTGAAAAAGTAAAAACTATATTAAAGCTTATAAAAATGCGAAACTATATTAAAACCTTAGTAAAAATTTAGCGAAATTAATTTAGATATTTTGTTAAATCTAAAATAAGTTTAGACAAGCAACTTTAGTTATATTGTAAAAAAAATATAAGACCTTAATTGATATTATTAATTATGTAAAATAAAGTAGATTTAGCTTAATTGATTAATGTTAAAAAAAAAATTCTATTAGCAAAAATAAACTGTATAAAATTTAAGTTTATAGATTTACATATAAAGTTAAGCAAATTTTTAAAAAAAAATACAAATTATATTTTATTATAGAATATTTGATAAAATTATTAATTTTATATATATGATAAATGCAATTTATTAAAATTTTCAAATAATTATTAAAAATTTAGTGATCATATTTTAATTGACAAAAAAGCTTTTAATTACATTTAATTAAAAAAATAGGATATATTAATACTTTAATTAATTTTTTTTTTAGAATTGATTTTTATTATTTAATGATAGAATCTTTAATTAAGAAAATTAGATTATATTGTATTTTATATTTTAGTAATAGTATAAATTGGAAGTGTTTCTAAAAAAATCAGGTTCTGAAAAATTTTTGACTAAAATTAAGAGCTTAATACATTTTAATCTAATTACATCAAAAACTAAAATGCAATAAAAATCTCAATTTTACTAAAAAATTTCCAAAACCTGATTTTTCTAGCAATCTACCTAATTAGTATTTTTATTATATCAAATTAAATGATAAATTTTTTATAATTAATTTTTTATAAATGTATATATTTCAAAAGTAAACAAAAGTATATATTTATATAAGAAGTACATTTATAGAAAAATATAAATTTTATATTAGGTCATATAAATAAATTATTATTTTTTTTATTAGTAACTGAATTATATAAATATTATGAAAATAATTTATTTTTATATTTTTTATTATGTAATATTAGCTAGATTATTGATTTTATTTATAAAAAAAAATAAACTATTATTTTAGTCAATAACTAAAATTTAATTTTTTTTAATTTTTTTTAATGTAAGAAAAGATTTTTTAAAATTTTAGTTTTGCTTTTTTTTATTTATTTTAATATAATTGCTCTTTCTATTTTTTCTTTTTTTCTTTTTTCTTTATCTTTTATATATATATTTACTCTTTTTTTACATCTTATTTTTTCTCTTTTTTCTTTATTTTTTCTTTATTTTTTTTTTCTTTCTTTTTATAGGAATAGTATTTAAACTTTTGAAAATTTTAAATTCTCTTAAAATTAGGAATTAAAATTAAAAAATAAGTAATATAATGCAAATAAATTATGCGAGCTTAAGTAAATGTATTTTTTTAAGATGTTTATTAATATTTCTTTTTTCTTATTTTTATAAAAATGGTTCTCTTAATCCTTTAGATTCTGAATTATTTTTTAAAAATAAAATTGATAAGTAAAATTGAGACAGGTTTCTCTAAAAATGTTTATTAATATTTTTTACTTCTTTTTTTTTGTAAAAATAACTCTTTTAAATCTTTAGAATTCAGAATCTTTCTTGAATAAAACTTAAATTAAAACTAGTAAGTAAAATTAGTATTTGAGAAAAAGCAGATTTTTTTAAAACATTTATTAATATTTTTTTTTATTTTTTTTTTTATAAGAATAGCTTTCTTAAACTTTTAGTATTTTCATTTTTTAGCTAAAAATTTCTTTATTAGTTTACTCTACTGATTATGATTATATAAATAAACCTAGTTTAATAATTAAAATTATTCAAAATTTATAGATATTTTTCTTTTTATTAATTATCTTTTATATATTCATTAATATTTTTTCTCTTTTTTTATAGAAATAACTTTTTTGAACTTTTAGAATTCTAGTATTAAATTTGAATCACTAGATAAAAAAAATATTTATTATAAAAAATAAATAATTTTATTTATTTGATCATATGAAAAATATAGAAAATTATTTATTTTAAAATCTTTAATTTAATAAAATAAATTCTATTTATTGAATGATAAATTTATAAAATTTTTATTAACATTTTTAATATTCTTTAACATAAATTTGTTAAATAATTAGTAATAATTAAATTAAATATTTTATAAAAAATTAAGAATTTCTGTTTTAAATTTAACCTAATAATATAGAATTTCTGCTTAAACTGATTCACATAATTGTTATAATTTTTTTATTATTATTTACATAAAGACAAAATTCACATTTTTGAATATTAGTTAATATAACTTTTTAGAAGGCATATTAATAATATAAAAAATCACAATATTATTATAGTTACAATATATTATTATATATAAAATATTTTTGTTTTATTAAAGAGTTTACATTAACTTATTAGATAATTTCTTTAATAGTTAAATTTTTTTTATTAGAAAGTTTACTTTACAATTAATTTTATAAGAAATTTATTATATTTCTTCAAGCGTTTAGCAAGCAAATTTGCTTACAATTTATTAATAATTAAAACTATTTATAATAATTTTAATTATTTTCAAAATAATTTATTTAAAAATTAAGATAAATATATGATAAATTATTATGAAAAAAATTAAATTTTTAAATTTATATATTTTACTCTCAAAAATATGTTCTTAATAAAATAAATCCAATAAACTAAATTTTATTTTCTTGTAATTATTAGATAATAAGTTATTTTAAAAAATTAAAAAATTAATATGTACTGTCAACTTTTTATAAATGCATTTCTCTTAGGACTAGATATAAGGATGTATTTAAAAAGAGTATATATTTATTGAACATATATAAATTTATATAATACATTAAGGTAATACAAAAAATTTATAAGTAAACTATATAAAATTTTTTATAAAGAACGCATTTATAGAGAGTATATATATAAAAAATGTGTATTAGTATTAAGCCCTAAGTTAGAACTAGATAAAAAGATGCATTTATAAAAAATATGCATTTATAAAGAATGCATTTATAGAGAGTTGACTATATTAATTAAAATATTATAATTTTTTTATAATGTTTTATTACTAGTAACTTTATTAAATTAATATAATATATAAAAGTAAATCTTAAAAATCTATTTATAAATACTAATTACTCTTATAATCTTTTAATCATTTAGTTTTAAAACTTTTATATTCTATAGTAACTCTTTCTTTCATTATAAGAGATTTTAAATGTTCATTAAACTTATGCCATTTCCTTTAGATATTCCAGTTTCATCATAATGATAAGTTTTTGAGCTTAAATTATTTTTAAACTCATTTAAACTAACTTATTATTATTATTCCTTCTAATATGTTTACTTTTTATATAAAAATGACTATTATTATTAATAAAGAATAAGAAAGTATATCAGTAATATATTATTATTTTTAATCTACATAAAGTATTCTATTTAAAAATCATAAAACTAAATATAAAAAAAGAATACTAACACTATTACATTAAATTCTTATTTGTAAAAAAGAGACTTATAAAATATTAATAAAAAGAAAAATTAAAAAACTAGAACTATAAAATCTAAAAAAAAAAAAGTAAGTAATTTCAAAATTAATAAAGGAAAAGGAAAGGAAAAATAGAAAAAAGAATAAATAAAAAAAGAAAAAAAAGAAAGAGTAATATTAAGAATTGAAATCATATGAAATTGTGTGATTATTACTATAATAAAATTACGTAAAATTATATAATTATTATTTAAGATAAGATTATTATTAAATAAAATATTGGTATTAGGTTAGGTAAAAAAATTTTTTAGATTTTTATGACCTGACTATCTCGATTTTTACAAAAACTCATGATTTTTTTTATAATAAAATTTTTTATCACATGATTTTATATAATAAAAAATCATAATAGCATATAGGGCCTTTGCAATAAAAAGGGAGGAAACTCTAATAAACGTGATTTTGAGATATTTAGATTTGAAAGTTTTTGATAAGTAAACAGATCGACAATCTAACAGTATTAAAAATAGATATTAAAATTAAAATAGATCTTTATTTTTAACAATTTTTTTATATTATAAATTATTATTGCCGCTAGAATTTTTTTGACTTTCTCACTTTTTCTTCAAGCGGAGGTAAGCTTTTATAGGTAAGATTAATTTTTTATAGAACAGTACTAACCGTCCTTTTCTTTTTTTTTTTAGGAATCGGTTTGGACTTTTCTCAACACGGACTTATGGTAAGTTTTTCATAGGTAGGCGTGTTAGTTTTTTCTTTTAGAATGATACTGACCGTTTTTTCTTTCTTCTTTTTTTAGGAATCGGCTTGGACTTTCTTTTGAAATGGATTTGTGGTAAGTTTTTTATGAGTGTGTTAATTCTTTCTTTTGGAACGGTACTAACCATTTTTTCTTCTTTTTTTTAGGAATCGGCTTAAACTTTTTCTTGAAATAGACTTGTGGTAAGTTTTTATGGGTGGGTTGTTAATTCTTTCTTTAGAACGGTACTAACCATTTTTTATTTCTTCTCTTTTTTAGGAATCGGCTTAAACTTTTTCTCGAAACGGACTTGTGGTAAGTTATTTATGAGTGTGTTGTTAATTCTTTCTTTTGGAACAGTACTAACCGTTTTTTCTTCTTTTTTTTAGGAATCAGCTTGGACTTTTTCTCGAAATGGACTTGTGGTAAGTTTTTTATGAGTGTGTTAATTCTTTCTTTTGGAACGGTACTATCTTTCTTCTTTTTTTTAGGAATCGGCTTGGACTTTCTCTTGAAATAGACTCATGGTAAGTTATTTATGGGTGGGTTGTTAATTCTTTCTTTTGAAATGGTACTATCTTTCTTTTTTTTTTAGGAATCAGCTTAGATTTTCTCTCAAAACGGATTCGTGGTAAGTTTTTTATGGATGGTTGTTAATTCTTTCTTTTGGAACAGTACTATCTTTCTTCTTTTTTTTAGGAATTAGCTTGGACTTTCTCTCGAAACGGACTCGTAAGTTTTTATGGATGGGTTGTTAATTCTTTCTTTTGAAACGGTACTATCTTTCTTCTTTTTTTTAGGAATCGGCTTGGACTTTTTCTCGAAATAAACTTGTGTTAAGTTTTTTATGAGTGTGTTAATTCTTTCTTTAAAACGGCACTAACCATTCTTTTCTTTTATCTTTTTTAAGGAATCCGCTTGGACTTTCTTAAGCAAACTTGTAAGTTTTTTATTATAAGCGAGTTAATTTCTTTCTTTCAATAACTAACCATTCTTTTTTCTCTTTTTTTTAGGAATCGGTCAACTTTTTTTTTTAAGTGGATTTTATTGATTTAATTAGATGGAACGAACCTTATAAGGAATAGTGTTTTTTTTTATTGGTTGAAGAATTTTTACACAAACATTTTTATGAAATCAATTTTAAATAACAATGACGTAATATAAAAT